CTCCCCCAGTGGCGCAGGGGCAGGGAATGGGGGGTGCAGTCAGTGCTGCCACTTCCTTCATGTTCAGTGAGGGGAGTGTCCAAAACTTGTTCCCCCCTGCTCCATCGTGGTCCCCCTCTCACAGGAGACAGTCCTCCACAAACTTTCTCCGACATGAGTCCCTCCCATGGACCGCAGCGTTCCCCACACTGCTCCGTCATGGGTCACTAACTTCCTCCGACTGGATTCCCTCCCACGGCTGCAGCCCTTCCCGAGCTGCTCCGGTGTGGGACTCCCCCGCATGCTGCAATCCTCCCAGCGCTGAATTACAGCAGTGGGGCTACCTTTTCCCATGAGACCCCGGCCTTCTTTGGGCACATCACCTTGATCAGTCAAGCGGGAACGACAGGCCACAAATCAACGTCTGCTCCACCGTAGATCTTCATGGGTGGCAGGGGGGGCCGCCCTGCCGTCTCACCACAGGATACAGGGGGGTCTCTGCTCTGGCACACCTCCCCCCTCCTTTCTTCCTCCGTTCCTCCACTGACCTTGATGTTCACACAGCTGCAGCGACTCCTCCTCACAAGTCCCACTGCCCATCACCACGTCCCTTCTTAAATACGTTATCGCAGAGGCGCAGCCGATTGGCTCAATTTCCCAAACAGAAGTGGAGCTGACGTGGAGCTGGGGGGGAGCTTCGAGAAGCTTTTCACAGGGGGCCGCCCCGATAGCCCCCTCCCCTGCCACCAAAAAACTCCACCACTCACTCAACCCAGGACAGGGCCCCTCCAGCGCTGCCCAGGGCTCTGCCCACCCCAGCAGCAGCCGCAGCCCAGCTCTCCCTCACAACCTGCCGGTAGAAGCTGCGTGAGCTCAGGCCTGCCAGGGCCTGGCAGAACTCGGCTCTCCCATTACACTCAAGCTGGTGTTCCCGCTCGTCTTGCCTGGTGCTCTCGTCTGCCCTTTGTCGTACTTACAGCACAGGGCTAGCAAGAAGCAGCGTTCAAGATTAGCGCTGGGAAGTTGGGTAATGGCTTCAGCAGAAAGAATAAATATTGTTGTTATTGTTGGTGTTGTGGAGTTGTTTGGATTCTGGGCTTCATTTAACTGTTGAAGTCTACCTGGAGGCCAAAGAAGTTCCATTCGGATAAGTTTTTACATTCTTAGGCAGATAAAATTATTCAGATGAGTATTTGTAAAGATACATTTAAACATGCAAAGTTATACACTTGTGGACTGGTGGCATTGCTATGCTTATTAGGCTCAAGACAGAGTTACTAGTGGGATTTTTTTTATTTTTTTTTTTTTTTTTTAAATTGTAATTCTTAACTATATGTGCATGTACTAATGGTTCTAGTATTCCTGAGTGTTACTCGTGGAATTTTCATCATGAATAAGTACACTGCTACAGTATATTTCCTGGACAGTGATACAAACCACTACAATGAGGACAGCAGGCAAACCATTAAAGCAATTCTGACATGGCATCAGAATTAGGTCCTCTAGGTTTATATTTTCCCAAGCTATAGCAGCACATCATGGTTTTTTCCTTACTAGAAGATGGAAAGGATTTCTTGACCTCAGTCTTTTATGAAACACGGAGAAAGCAAAGAAGTTTCCAGTTGTGTCAGAAACTATATCAGCCTGAGTTTGCCTTCAGTGAGTGTAACTCTGCTTGGTTGCTTGAGTGCAAGCAGTGGCAGAAATTGTTGCTGCTATCACAGCTAACTCAAAGTTTAGCTTTGAGATATCTTTCTAAATCTTTAGTTTAGAAAGATGATGCAGGATGTCAGTTATTGAGCTTGAGGCATCATTACTCTAAATTAATGATTTACATCATAGCCAAAGCATAATTTTAAAGATGTAGTGAGAAGCATTAATAATTAATGGATTCACTTAAGTCCATTTTCCCTTTCTGCGATGCCGTAAGCATCAGGGTGCAGAGGTGGGCTGTGGGCTTCCAGCAAGTAAGGGCTGGCAGGGAAGGTGGGCAGCTAGCTCCTCAGGAGCCATGCTCGTGACAGCTGACTGCACCACGCGTGTTCACCCACCCCACGCACCCACTGGGGGAGCGATAGAGTTTGTTATAACCTCCCAGGTGGAAAGGTGCTCCTCTTTGTCTGGATTAGATGACCCCGGTTTGTCCGTGTTTAGATTACAGTGATCTGGACATCAACGATACAAACTTAACACTTTTCATCCAGACAAACCATGAAATGGTGTTACTGTATATCATCATGACTGTGTGATTCTGTCCTCGGATGGATCTGGTAACTGATGTTCATTGGACCCTAGGTATATATTTGGTTTCCTAAATAGTTGTGGGGTTTCTTTAAATCAGTCGAGTTCGTAGTTCTTTTGTTATTCACTGAGTGATAATACTGTTAGTGAGCAAAATATTTTCATTAGAACAAATGCTTTTTTCAGCCTCAACTGTATTCTTGTTCTTGTCTGTACCAGAATTAAATATTAATCAAAACAAAGTAGGAAAGCTGCAATTATTCCCTGATGGGGCTTCCTGCATTTTTAATCATGATTTGTTGGTGTCACTGGATTTCTATTACTCTCAGGAGTACTGAAAGCTACAGAATATGAATTCATTTGATTAACATTTGAACTGAGTCTATAGGAATAGGGCCTGTACTTAATATTGCTTTCTAAAGGATTATAACCATCAGGGTAGCTGCATATCAGAATTAAGTATAAGTACATACTATACACATGTATATACAGCCCCTAACCCACACATGCTCTCCCACCAAAATCCTTAAGACCAACATTTATGAGAAAATAGACTCGGAGGTCTGCAAGCTCAGTTGGTCTCTAATGAAACGTGATCTTGACCTGGAAAGTGAAATTGGGGATGTCAACATCTACACACTTGTTAAGTCAGTGAAATGAAGAATCTGGCTCATAGTTCAGTGAAAAGACGTCAGCAAGGTTAAAGCAAAACATAAGAAAAAGCTTGTATGCCGTTGCCCCCCTTGTTCAGCATATAAATGATACTGTCAGGAGTTTTGAAGTGAGCACTGCAGTCTTTTCCTGGAAAGCATCATTGGCAGAAAAAATAATTTTCATCAGAACTCAAGAACTGAGGGGAAAAAAATGGTATAAATCGGTTAACAAGTTGACCCACAGGCAGCCAAACTAAAGAGGCCTCATTTCCTATGGATTTCTGTCTCTTCAGCCTCATCATCTGCTTTCCAGCTCTCCACACCAGCAGCCCTCCCTGTCCTCCGTGCCTGCAGTGCCTGGCAGGACAGACCGTACACGTGGCCAGGGCAGCGCTGCTGCCTGTGCTGGCTGTCCCCATTTTGCACAGGACTTGTAAGAGCTTGCTACTCATTGAGACCTCTGCCCTTCTGTGAAATGGAGTTAAAACTGGGGGGAAAGAGCAAACAGATGACAGGCAAACATTTGTACAACACAATTATGTTGTAACCTTCTTTCCCTAAGGAACTCTGTATTTTTGAGCAGTTGGTATTTTTAGAGATTGGATATTTTATCTATTTTTAAAAGCAAGTAAAAAGAAGCATAGAAACAATCCCAGAGGGGTGGCACCATGTTTTCTCTGAGTAAATAGCCACAAGACCATTTCAGATTGCCATATTCTACACCATACCTGTCCTAGCCCTACTGCCTATACCCCCTGGAGTAGGCTGCACCCCACACATTGAGGACCCAAAGCACAGAAGCCCTGTAGCAAGCAAGCTGGCTTCCCTTGTATGGCAGTCTCCAGGACTGCCACATTTATGCCATCTAGACATGTTAACATTTGAAAGAGTATTTGAAATTTCAGGAATGAGCCCTACTTGACGAAACAAAAGAAACACCAGATTCTCCCTGGGAATGATGCTGGTGGTGTCAGTAGGGTTGCAATTTGTTAATTTATTCAAACATTTCTGAGCTGGGGTGTTCTCTTTAATAATGTATGTCAGATTTCCTCTATAATGACCAATTAAAATCCTAGGACTAACTCAGTGCATCTATGATATCCTCAGTATTCTGCAGCACAGTTGGCAGAACAAGTATGCACTTTTCATTTTCTTTACTCTGTTTTTCTCACTTGTCACTTCAGTTTGCCCATGAGTGTTTGCCTTGCACAGTTCCCACCCAGAAAGAATGCTAGGGCTGGGTGGTAAATAGGGGACAAAGATTGTATCAACATAGATAACAATGAGTTTTTATGTGTGTGGCTTTTAAGAAATAAAATTTTGAAGAAAATTTATGTCATTTGACATTTTCTAGCTTTTATTAAACAAAATAAAAATTATATGTTTGCATTTTTATTGAAATCAAGTAAGCTAGAAATAGGGGGGTTTTTGGCTCAGTTTTGGAATTCATAAAAGCGTGACTGACTGAAAAGAATGATTTTCTCTGACATTAAAATATTAAATCATCATCATCAGAACTTGCCTCTGGGCTCACAGGCAATAACGGGTGTATCTCCTGTTCTCTATTTTACTTCAGTCTCACATGCATAGAGCAAGAGCCCTACTTTTTTCAAAGAATGTGCATCTCTAGTACTGTGTAGTCTGGACAAATTTATCTAAGAAGTTACATGTGCAACTAGTCCTTGCTGGTTAGAGAGTTCTTGGTATTTTTCCTTTAATTTTTCCCTTTCCAAAACATCCTACAAAGCTCGAAAGCTTTGGAAAGGAATAGATGTAACTTAATCACTTATTAATAATTTAAAAATATTAACTTGGAGCTAAATTTTTTTCTTCCCTTTGTCTTTCTTGTTGCTATTTCTGGACTAAGAAAAGCATTTCTAGCAGTGGTGAAAATATTGGCATTGTCCTAGAGTGCCCAGAAATCATAGGAAAGAGTAGCCAGTGCAAATGGCAAATGAAATTTTCAGTCATATTGTGTGAACTCTGTCACCAAAGAGAGTGTGCCTGGAATTCCCTCATGTAATAACTCTGTGCTATAAAATGTGATGTTGTCTGATTGTTACCAATGTTCTGATTTTATTATCTAACACTACTTTCTACTTGTCTTTTTGCTTGTTGTCCCTCTAGACATGTGAATTTTCAGCCCACCCAGTTTGATGGAGCATTTCTGTCTGGAAGCATATTGGTTGAAGCTTCTCATCAGGTACCCAGGACTTGCTGCTTTTGCTTGTGCATCCTAGAAATTCAGAGGACATCTTGACTTCGAAGGTAGGAGAGTTACTGCACTTGGATAAACTGTAGTTCTAGAGAGGAATAATCAGTTGCTTACAAGAATATTTCAGTTGGCTTCTCTGCAATTTTGTGTTGCTGTTGTTTTGTTTTACTATTTCTAAATACTCTGTTATGGATCAACTCCTACAAACTATTTAGAGGCATCCTCCAGACTAGACCTTTGTGCAGCTTTAAAGATAGTTTTCATGGGTTTCATTGGGTCATCAGATCACTGCTTATTGTGAGTCTAAGTTGCTGAGACGTAAGTGATGCAGAGAACCCAGCTAATTCACAAAAGCTGAGTGTATTCAAGTTGTTATGGTCTGACCCATAACTGTCCTAAGAAGGAGTTAAACATTACAAAGAGCTGAGAATCCCTGTGTCTGAGTTCTACACCAAAGATGTTGGATTCCAAATCATCACAAGTGCTTGTTTTTCCCAGAACACAAACACCCTTCTGACCTCTTTGGTTTTCTGATATAAACTAGGAATCTTTTCATGATAATCAGAGTCAAGTATCAGCTCCAGAAAGCCATCTCTATTCATTATAGGTACTTCTGCACATTAGAAAACAAAACAAAAGAAGCAGTCTACCAATTCCCAAGATTAATGCTATGAAACATTTTACGGGTGGTCCATAAATGGTCAGTATGTTGCACTAATGTGTGACTACATGGCAATTAAGCTTAATTAGGGAAGGTTTTGAAAAAGACAGGTGAAAGTAAATTATGATAATGAAAGCAACTGTGCTTTTGGGGACCACACTTTGCTATGCTAGTTCAGTGAAGTGTTGCTAAAAATGTCCCCTGTCTGTCAGATTCTGACGCACATCCAACAGTTTGTCAAACCAAGCGTTTCTCTCTAGAAGGAGGAATCTCTTAGGAGCACATCCTTCACCCGGTCTCTGCTGAACTTGCTGGTTTCTTCAGGAGGCAGCTGCGCTTCCACAGTGAGAGCAGCAGATGACCCTTAATACGCAGCCATCGGGTTTTGTTTAGCATTGCCTCTTTTCTACATGGAGTAACAGAGGTAATGATGAATGTGGATTTTCATTTTCATGTGTGCTCTGGGGAAATTTTTTCATGATTTCATATTTTTAATTCTTTCTCAGATTTACAACTGAGCATCCTATATGGAACATCTGATTCTGGTTCCAGTGATTTTCCCTGGTGAGAAGAGCCCAGTAAGGAGAGCTGGACCAGTTCCCAGGCTTCCACACAGCATGGTTTGAGGGCATCCCATCAAACAGGCTCTTTCAGAGCAGAGGACTTCGAGGTTTCTGTGCCCGGAGACAAACTGCTTCAGAGTGAGGTGCCTATTCCCTCTCCAAGAGAATTTTAAAAGAAACCAAATTTAACATGCTGAAATCCTCGACAAAACAGAATTGCTTTTTTCTGCTCTGGACTAGATGGTTGTTGCTGCAGGCACCATTATAGAATGCTATGTTATATTGGATTTTATTAAATTATGGAAAATAATTAATTAGAAAAGCAGGGAAAAAATGCTACATAGTCAGAAGGCAAATCTTTTTATAGCTTGGATAGTGTCTGGTATTGCTTTCTACCAGGACACTGGGATGCTTTTTTTCCCTAATGAACTTTTTACATCTGAGATGAAATACAGATTCTGTGCACAATTTATTGAGAAAAACACCAGTTTCATGTGAGCAGTTTTCAGACCAACGGGGAATTTATATGTGGAAATCATATATGGGTATAGGGAAACACCTCATAAAAAGAATGACTACGTGGTCAGCAGCTGTAATTTATGTGCATTCTTTTTTAATAAAAAAATGTGTTTTCAGACCAATCTTTTCTTTTTTTTTATTGCAGGTCAGCAACTACAGTTGAGGCTTTCCTCAACCTTCTGACTTCCTTTGTTCTGTTTTTGAAAAAAGAAAGCTAAAATCAGCACTTTGTGTTTTCAGTTACGAAGCTTATTCATGTGTGAGAGGTGCAGTAAGGACACCTTTCTCCACTGAAGGAAGCTGAAGTAAGTATTGATAAAAATAGCACACACACAAAAGAGCGTGTTAACAATGAAAACAGAGAGACAAGAGAATGCTAAATATAAATAAGAAGCTAGTTCTGGGATTTGATGGCTGAGCGTGAACGGCTGTGCACAGGTAATCCAGATACACTCTTTATGCCTAAAGTCTCCATGTTAGTTACATGTTTACCTGCACATACACAGATGCAAAATTTTCAAATGATGTGTGTATCCATAAATAACAATTTCCTACAGGTCAAATTTTGTGGAAATCAATCAAATCAAAAATTATATTCCTAAAAAGGATTCTCTAACCAAACCTGTGGATAGGATCTCATATTTAATATATCATGCCATTTCTGAAAAGAGATCCCCTCAGATAGGGAACCTCGCTCAGGTCCCTTACCTGTCTCCACATCTGTAAATGGGAAGTGAAGGCTCAGCTAAAGAGTTGCTGGTACATGAGGTAATGAGAAACTCCAAGGTAAGCCTGGATCTGTGGTAATGTAACACTTGCGAGGGGAGCTGGCACTGTCTCCTTGGCAAAGTTGTTACAAGCCCTCCACAGACTCATTCTTTCACGGAGATGATTAGATATTGGTAGAAGCCTGATGCAGTTATGAAGCAGTAGGTGAACAAGCCATTTCCCCACTAAAATCATAAACCCAGCATTTTATTACTTAGGTCACAGAAACATCATTCATCTGTCATTTTGATGATAACCACTCTCTTTTCATCTACTTCATCTGCCTGAAACGCTCTGCCCTACACCTCTTTAACACATGCTGTAAATGCTCCCCTCCACCAGGTTTCTCAAAACCCGCAGTATTCCTGAGGGCACCTTCTGCAGCAGCCAGATCTCCGGGAGCCCCTGGGATGGACTCCGAAGGGAATTCTCCAAGTTGAATAAATTAGTCAGGGCAAAGGCTGGCATTCAGCTTTTTCTCAGTTAATGACAGGGAAAATTCACCTGGATTGGTACTGGCTACTTATCAGGAACCTAGAGGACACCAGGATATAGCCTTCTATGATTTGGATACTTTCTAAATTATATCTTTTGCCAGAAAGCTGCAATGTTACTTGTTGGAAGAGCCAAAGTAAAGCAGATTTTCAGAACTCAGAGAGACCTGCAACAGCAGCTGGAGCTATCCTCTCTACTCTCTCACCACACCAGCCTTGTGAAGGCTTTAAAGCCGGAGAAACTGAACCATAAGAAAGGGACCTAGCAAAAAAATTCACTAATGGAGCAAACAAGTCCATTATTTCCAGTTTTCTAGGAGACACGTTTCAGTCTGTATGTACTACATTTCTGCAAGAGACATTTAATATTTACAGGTGAAGGAACCTCAGGCTTGCCAGGATTCTTGGATTCCTTTCTAACCTGCCCTCATTTCTTTTTTCCCCACCTCCTTCCCTCTTTTGTGGCTTTCTGGTGTAAGTGCCCACAGCAACCCCGTGTTTGGGACCCAGGAGCAATCCTTCACCGCAGGCCCAGGGCGAACCTCGGCGACAGCCGCTGAAATGCCTTGATCACACGTTCCCAGCACCCTGTCCTGCCAGCAGCAGGAGGAAACTCCAGTTTATGTTAATAAGGTGTGGAGGGTGGCCAAAATATTTTGTGTTTTCCGGCTTGAAAGGGTAATGAAGCTACCTCTGTCTCAGTATGCTGGCACAGGAGCAAGCTAAACAACTGGGAAACGTGTTTCAAAGGAGAAGCACAGAGCACAAACTCTGCGGGTTTCACACTTCCACTGGGGGCCGAGCTTTGCCTCTTTCCGCCTTTTTTGCAGGCTGGCTGCTCCCTTTGCACAAAAAGAGGGGTGGATGGGGGAGGGCGAGTGGGCTGTTTCTGCAGATTAGCTTCAGGCAGCTCTTGCCAGACTGAAAGTTACACTGGAAAGCATTTCTTAGTTTATACCAAAATAATGAATTGTTTAATAAGTAAAGTAAACCCAGAAAGTTATTCCCATAAATTTGGTTTAAAAATCTACTTATTTCTTAGCTCTGAGCAAAAGAAACCTCCATGTTGCTGTGAGCACGGTCAGATTCTTTGGGCTCTCTTCAAAAAGCTTCTTTTTTTGTCATTCCTCTCTGACCTCCTCCCTGCTAGTCCTGGGATGAAAAGCAAGCCAAAGATCTGCTGAGAAATGGGCCGAGCCACTGCTGACCTTTGCAAATCCAATTTCTTCAAAGCAAGAGCTAATCGACGTGTTCCCACGCTGTGTATTGCTGAAACATACGATGCAATTCAAGGAATGAATTCACCATGGTGCAATCTCATTTTGAATCCAGTTTTCTTGCTATGTGTCAGAGGGTGAAGGAGGCAGAGTATGGTACAAGTTATAAAGAACAGTCACACACAAGTTTCACAAACCACATAAGTCTGTCTTTGAACGATTTTATACTTTGGAGGGGTTCTTTCCCTTAAAATATAAAATGCATTAGCATCCCCGCCTCCCACCTTCTTCCCCCTCAAAAACAGAGAGACATTTTGTAGTGATTTAAAAGAAAAATAAGCCAATGAGAGTTTGTACTGAATAATCTGAGGAGATTTTCATGCACAGGAGCTATAGGTGAATGGGGTGATGATACAGGGGGAGCATTAAAGTTAATATTTAAAATTCATATTCTCTCACTTTCCATATCAGATTTGACATGAGTGTTATTCCTATTTTGCACCAGTGAGAGAGGTCCACTCTACGAAGTTTTGCAGTTCCTTCTAAGTACCACAGGTGTGCCTGCAGGATCCGCACAGGAAAAGCCCATTGGCATTCATAACCTAAATCTTACGATCTTGTTTCAACAGGTGCGTGGGGACTGGCCCCCTCCCTCTGTTTTCTGGAGGGGGTTGCTGTTTGCCTCCCGCAGATCCGGCCGAGTCCTGACTGCCCCCCATGCCAGTACCCAGGTACCCCCGAGGTGAGCGAGCAGAGATGGGCGGCAGCCTGCCTGTGTGCCCCGAGTGGTGCCTGTTGGTGCAGTGCTGCCACTTTTTGTCTGGGGCAAAAAAGGGAGGGAAGAAGACTCTTATTCCTCACGTAACTGCTGTAGGGCATATCTCTCGGGCTCCCAAGCCTTTTTGTCAGTGCTGGAGAGAGGAGTCGGGTTGTTCCCGGCGTGGGGCTGGGTTTGATGTCCCTCTGGGGAGGCCGCCTCTCCAGCTGGGAAGCACCTTTGGTGCCTTACCACAGGCCTCCCGGTGTACAGTGCATCCAGCCAGTTTGCTCGTATGGTAGAACCAGAGATATTGCAACCTATTTATTTATTTCGTTATCATCTTCATTGCGCAAGTGCCATTCCATTAGAACTGATGTAATGGAGGGAGAATCAGGCCTTTGGGCTAATGGGCTAAACTATGCCCCGGCTGTGTAAGCTGAAGACTTTCAGAGGAAGCATTAGTGCTCTCATTTTCTACTTGTCATTAGCAAAGCAGATGGAAATGTATCATTGTTCTCAAGATTGCTGAATGAAGCAAGTCCTTTTTAAAATTTTATTTCCATAACCATGCATAGTAAATTTCATCCATTCATGACTGGTTTATAAAAGGCTTTGCTAACTAACCAGATCTGGAGAACTTTCTTTCTCAGCAAGTATTGCAATAAGAGAATTGTTTGTGTTTTTATTACTTTCTCAATATTTTTGTTATTCTCTTTCCCAAGAAACGATTAAATTTTCCAGTCCTCTGGACATCAAAGATTTTGGAGAAGAGATTGTATAAACTGGATAGGTAATGGCCGCTACCAGATGGATTTAGTGGTGGAAAGGGGAGAGGGCTAATTTGTTTTATGTGTTTCCTCTCACTGCTGGCACCTTTCACTGTGGCACACTGTTCCTATCCTGTCACAGGGAATATCTTTGCACAGAGGGAGCCCTTGTCCACAGGATTGTACTTACCTTTGGGTTTCGCTGTTGTTTATAAGTAACTTTTCCAAAAGCTTTCATCATAGCTCTTGTACCTGGTCTTGCAGTCAGAAAAGAGAGAGCAGCTTTAACTTTGTTAGTTAATAGCACTGATTGACAGGTTTTCATTTCTGACCTTTTCAAGTCAGAAGTTTTTTTTGCTCCATTTCTGGATATCTTGGGAGACCTGAATTTTGATTTATTTCTGTAAAATAAAAATTGTGCAGTAAAGTCCCCACAAAAAGTCACACAGGAATGAAGCAGAGTTTCAACTTCAAGAAACTGCTGCACCCTCCCATTTAATGTGGGAATCAACATTTGCATGAATCCTCTTTATTTCCTCATCTGGTGTAAAATTCCTTGTCCTCCTCTTTTAGATTACTCAGTCTTTAAGAAAGATCTTGGAGTGGAAATGATGATCTGTGGTATTGCAAAGTCCTAGCTGATAAAACAGATTGTGTGCGTGTATAACAACATGATTTTTGCATATCACTATGTCAACAATATCTGACCTCATTCAGATAACAGTAGAGAGACCTACAGCTTTGACCAGATTCAAAGAAAGTCTCACTACTTCTTCTCTTTCTTGTTTTAGGTTCAATCTACTTGCTTTCACATTTGCACGTTGTATTTTTAAGTACCTACTGTCATGTTCTTCAAGCTTCATCAAAAGATGGCACTTTCAATATATGTTGTCTGCAAAAAATGTCCTATGTCCTATGAATATTCTGACATCCAATCTGATCTAAAAATTTAAGAGCAACTGAGATCTTCTCAACCTAGTCTCCTTCTTCTGAGATAGCCTAGATGAATGCTTTTGATCTTCCCCTGCTCTGAGCAACATTGGAATCCGTTGCCATTGCAGGAGAGGAGACTTTGGCTTCACCCAGTCTATGAGGATCCTCAGACCTTTGCAAAAATGCTCAGATTCTCACACAGTTTGCAAGCTGGCCTGGGGCCATTGGGCACCTCATCCGGGAGAACACCACCAGAGCAGATAGTCCATGTCAATGGCAGCTGGGCTGCAGCCAGAAGAAGGGATCCTGGCTGGAGAAGAACAGAACAAAAACCATGTCCAAACCATGTTTGGTTGGTTTGGTTTTTTTTTTTTTTTTTTTTTTTTTTTTTTTTTTTTTTGTTTTTTTTTTTAATTGTAGGCCTTAATTTCAAACTGTTTTCTTCCATCTCCTTCATTCACTCCCTGACTACTGCTCCATATATTTAAATTAAATGACCCCAAAAAGAAAAGTTAATTTAAAAAAACTACTAACCTTTTGTACCAAAGCCCAAAATATTTTTTTTCTGCACTGCCAGTGGAGAAATGAGAACAGTTCTGCCAGTTTCGTGACAAAATTCTCCATCTTTAGCGAGCATTTAGACTGCAATAAAGATGAAACTACAAAGCCAATGGCAAAACTACAGAGGAGGCTCACAGGCTAGATGGGCAGTTTACTGCAGAAGCAGGGAAGTAAGCCTTATCCATTGCTCCTCTTATAGTGGGAATTTGCCATTCAGCTGGCACTGTAAACACAGCAAAGAGGTTTTATCACAAATCTGAAAAGGTGTCAATTTGCAAAACTGGAGGAGCTGGCGGGATTTAAATTCCAGAAGCAAAACTGCTATAATAATTGTTTTTCTTATTGTTCATTTTGTCTGATTATAGTCCAGAGAATTATTTCAGTAGCTTACAAAGCTGGAAGCTAACTAGTTTATCAAAATGGGCTCCAGCTCACTGAGGGATGGCGAGAAATATGCTTTTCTTCTTTAGGGTGTTGTTAATAGTTTTGTATTCCTTGCTAAAACTTTTATTTGGTTTGAGAGGAGGTGGCTAGTTGAGAAAGACCCTTGATTTTTCTTTGAAGAAAACAAGTTTTCTGTTTACAGTTCATAGAAATAGGGAGAGAAAGGGGGGTGTGACTAATAATGTATGCTATGGTAAAATCTAGATTGCAGTCTGTTTCACACATAGCCCTTTCTGTGTGCCAAGTTAGGACCTGTGCAGGTGAATGTCATCCTATCAGCCTACTTACACTGAAAAATCACTCCTGTTATCTTGGGTTCCCCACGTCCTGTACTAACACAGAACTAGCACACTTAGCACTTGTATGTTGGCAAAGATTGATATAAATTGCAACCTTTTAATGATATGTTAAGCCTCGTGCATCCAGAAGAGGAGGTCTTGTTGTTAAGACTAAGAATCAGCAGGAGCTTGTGCAAGTGATTGTACCAAATGATTGCCAAGCTATGAAAGCAAGAGGTAATTCAGGTGCCATATCTCACAGACTACTGTAGTTTAAAAACTTTGTGAGTTTGTGCTCAGGCTTGTACAGGTAGTGTATGTTAAGTTAAAGCTACGTGATGTATTTTTTTCACTTCACTCTACAAGCTGTTTGCACAGGAGTTAGAGGTACAAGTTATCAGCGTGCTATTGCTAGACATTGCATTGATTATTTTTGCTACTTCCTTATCGTGTATTTGGAGCTCTGCAGTGACAGTAGTAATCATTTAAAAAGAAATAAAAATCATTAGCTTGACTAAGTATTTGCCACAAAGGAATGCTTAATTCTTGGTGGCTTTAAAAATGTCATAGCAATGCTCTGAGCGGTATAGAAACTGTGGAGTGTAATGTATATAGCCAACAGGGGATTAAAGCTCTGTGGCTCAAGAACTCCACTATGAACACATAACAGTATTTTTCTTCTAACATAGTTGCATCTTCAAAAAATCTGTTAAACTGCAGCTTGCAGATGAAGTCTAAAATACAGGACAAATTAAAGTATGGTAACTCTGAAAGGGCAAATTGATCTAACCAGAGCTGTATTACATACAGGAAAAAGAATTGAGATTACTGATGACTCGCTGCACAGAAACAGCATTTACTATAATGGAAAAGTGTATACCATGGATTAAGTCTGTCAGTTTTGCACTGGCCTGTTTCTCATTTTCCATGGCCAACACTTTGATCTGTGCTATAATGTAGGTACTTACAATCCTGGGAAACTTGCTGCCCCAAACTAAAGATGAAATAATTTAATCATAGGTACTTGGACAGGCATTTTTCAAACCAATGTAATTATGTTTTTTGTTTACAGCCTGTGTCTTCCTGTGAGTATTACATCCAGAGATAATTTAAGAGCACAACCGGTTTGTAGGCTTAGGTGTGGGGGACGTTTGAAAGAAAATGGAAAATTGGTTAGTTGTTTCAGTTTATAATTCCAGAACATTCAAGCTTGAATATCTTTGTGGTTTCTTTTTCTGTTAAGGAATTTACTCTTATTATGAATTTCTGTCTCTAACTTTGCCATTCCTGTGCCTGTAAATAAATCTATTCTATCGTGGTTTGGGAATGAATCATAGCTTTAAAGTGATTTCAAACCAATTTTCAGCTCTGCTATATTCCTATAACATCTCAGAGTTTCCAGGGCCCTGAGGAGGGTTGTTCCAGATTTAGAGTTACATAACACCATCAGAATTTTATCGTTTAACATTTGCATTCAGAGCTAATGCTTTAGTCATCCAGGTCCCTAAACTGGTTATCCAGTCCAGTTCTTCAGTGTTGTTTTAAATGTTGCACTCACAACTTTTATGAATTTCATATAAAGTTAGATGATGGTAAATAGGTATAAAGATAAACTGAGCTTTTAAAGATGGAAACTGCTGATATTTTTTACTAATTTCTAGATCTATTATGTCACTAGTACTCTTTGGGAAAGTTCTGATTTACAAAATATGATCTCATGGTGTGTTTTATCTTATTGGCTTCTTGCCATGTTGCCAGAATGCCATGTATTCAGATAGAGGCAACCAAAATGCATGCTTCAGCAGCCCGTGCATGCAGAGAAAGAGTGCAAAGCTGGTTTTCATTTTCTAGAAACAGATCCTAGTTACAGTATACCTCCAGCTGAATGACTTCTTATTATTGGTTTTGTGTTTTTGATTTTCATTGATTTCTTTGGTTTTACGTTTTTGAGACATATGTATCATATGCTCACAGGAAAAGCCCAAGTTTCAGAAGTTTT